TTTAATAAATCACTTTGCGAGCGCTAAATTAATATATTTACATGTTCTCCTCCCACAAGACGCACTTTTGCGTGTAAACGCCCCATATTGCATATTCATTGCAGAAAAAGTACTAAATGGATAAGAGGCGCTATTTAGCACGTTTTAAAGACCAAATCATTTTAGCACGCTGTTGATAGATCAGTTTGTACATTTTTTAGCGTGCGCAGTGAAATAGCTCACGTTTTTATACACGCAAACATTTGATAGATCCGGCCCTTGGTATCCCTCTGTCTGTAAAATATTTGTTTAACTTAATATTCTGGTTTTCAAATAACGTTTTTCTGGTTATTTGATTATATTTCAAACAGTATAACCAACCTCAGGAAAATTTAGCCATCAAAGTCAAGTTTCAGAAATGTTATGCTTTGAATATTCTTAAAGTTGTCTTACCACATTGTATGGTTGGTCCTCATCCAGTTCAGTATGAGCTGCGTCAATTAAATCTCCTGTAAAAAGAAAAAAAAAAACATTAATTACAATAATCTTGCTTTCAGTTACTTAATAATCTCCTTATCTTCCATATAAGACTTTAACAGTAGGGAAAATGTATTGTGACAAAAAGCAAATAGATATTGTCTCTGTCTCTTCTAATTTATGTGGTACAGAAAAGCTCATCTGTCTGAGTGTCAACCTACTGCATTTGATCAGATGGAAATGCATTGGAAGGTTCTGGGGAAAAAAAATGTCCTTTGTCACAGTCCTGTAAGTTGTTTTGGTTTGTTTATTTTTTGTTTAGATACCCATTAAGATTAGATGTGACAATAAGCCTTATGTTTTGTTGTTTTTTTTACATTAACACATATTGGGCTCCCGTAGTTACTGTAATATTTTGCCTCGTTTTCAACTTTTATATGATATGTGACTCGTTATCTCTGAAATGTACTAAAACATGTGCTATAAACATGTACAGTTGAAAGGGTCTATTGTTCCAGAGTAAACTTACCTTGGTGATTGTCATGAAGCTGCTTTGGCTTTTTCCTTGTAAAAATCAAAGCGAGGTTGACAAGTACAGAACAAGCCAAAAGTCCACAGAGCACAATAGCATACAGGCAAAACTCTTGTCCTGAAAGAAAAAGACATTTCTATTTAATGTTACATACATACGTCTTGTTTATTGAGTGTTTTCTTAAAGCTACCAAAAGCACAATGAACTTTTATATTCGCTATTGTCATCATACATTTTTTCCATCAGTTTGTGGTCTAAGGGCCCTGTCACACCTTGACGATTTAACCAGCGTATGCCTGACGTTCCAGAATCTTCTTAAACACTGGCATTTTTATGTATTTTTTTAATGTTGGACGTATGCATAGATAATTTTAAAAAAGGCGGCACTTTGTTCACAGTTAACCTAGCTGCTGTTTACCATCCACCCAATATAAAAGAATGAATAAAAAGAAAGAAGGTTTGCAGTCTCAGCAAATTCAGTGTCATGTCTCCTAGGAAGTTTGTTGGTCGTTCTGCAAGAAAGCAGGGAGGATCCATCACACTCACCTTCTCGTTCACCCTATGATGGGGATGAAATCTGGAGGAGATCTGACGGTTTCCTCCTGTGAATCCACTTTTATACCAAAATGCTGCCAAAACGGCATGATACATTAGCTGTAAAATGGAAAGACGTTCAGCAGTCGTCTGGAAGACGTCAGATACGTTGATATGCGTTGGAGATAAGTTACGCATAAGTTATGCAAAAGTTACTCATACAGTAGGTTTTGGATAAGCTAGACACCATGACTTATGAGTGACTTAAACTTAATATATCTCAACGATCAGATAACTTACCTGTAATGTATGCTCCATCTATGGCATACGCTGGCATACGTCGATTTTTTTGTACATTGGGCATACGCTGGCTAAATCGTCAAGGTGTGACAGGGGCTTAAAGAAGCATATCAAGGTTAAATCTAAATTACTTTCAATCACATTTAGCATTTTTAGAAAAAAATACCTAAAACTCTTTGCCTAAATATAAAAAAAAAAATACTGCTGTAGTATTTGTGTCAACCTTTTAAGAATAACCACTGTCGGTGGGTGTTTTTGGATTCTGCTTTAATTTATCATTTGTGGTGGAGGTCGGTTTGCTATTGTTTTTACGTATTACTGTGATCATTCTAAGTTTGGTTTGGTTCTAGGAATTCTTCTGTTACCTAATTACTGTACATTAATCCTTTATTTTCTTCTGCCCCATGTGCTATTTATTTAGTCGTGTTTGCTTCACTGGTTGTGGTGGAATATTGTTTTCATGCCACACCATCTACAGAAAATAAATCTGTTGATCTCACTGAACCATCTGCTTCCTTTCTGCTCCCACATCTTGGTCCGCTTCACAATACTGCATGCTTGTAATAACATACTGATAACTTTTCTTTAGATTATAAGTAAGAGGGAAACTAGTTTTTTGTAATACATTATATGTAGGGATATTTTTTACATGGGCTATGGGGCTCACAACCCAAGGGGGCAATGTTCTCAGATGTTGGAAGAATACTACGTTTCTTTTAGTTGTAAAACCTGTTAATTACACTGCTGTAACTCATCAATTAATCATTTACTGTCGATAAATTATTTTTGCTTCTAAAACTTTAATATAATTATGACTTCATTGCAAAAGCTAGAAACTGCATGTTTTTAAAGCTTTGCATACTTGTCTCCACTTTGACTCCTTCTCCAAACAGGATCTCGCCACATGTAACCACGGCACAGTAATAAGTCCCAGTATCCAAGGGGTTTTTAACAGTTTTGGACAGCCGGTATTCACAGCTCCTCTCTTCTTGTTTCCTGCAGTGCTTTTTATCAGCATAGATGAATCCTGGATTAGATTCTGATTGTGCTCTAAACCAGAACACGTTGTGTTCATCCGTGCACTGGTCTAGGCTTTCTTTTTCTGTCCTCTCAGAGAAGAGTGAACACTGCAGAGTCACCTCAGTACCAAGTGAAATAGACTTCCCGTCCGAAGTTTGGCCCACATAGAGATACTTCTTATTTCGAGAATCTGAGTGTCAAAAATTAAACAAAAACAAGGGGTAAAAATAAGAACTGGTTTAATTAGACATTAATCAAAGCAGCAGAAAGCAAAGAATTAAGAGATCTTACCATTTACAGCCAAGTTTGTCCCATTAACAAATTTAAGTGTGTATGCTGCTCCTGCTTGACATAAGTATATTGCCTCGTCCTCTTTGCTGACATTAATGATGGTGAGGATATGCATGCTCCCTTTGTTATCAATTTGAAATCTTGATTCCAGAAAAGGATTTTTCCTTTTTATAGATCCAAAAGTACCTGAAGCAATCGTTTGGACCATATATCCATAATTCATCTTATACCAGAAAAACAATCCATTTTCATGCCCAGATGTATTACATGTCAGATTCACAGTTTCACCAAGTCCAGTTTGGATCAGAGGTATGTTGTCAGGAGCATTTAGGGTTCCGGCCAAAACTAAAAAGAAAATAGAACAATGATAATACCACAAAATAATGACAAAGAAAGCAATTTTGAATAGTCTCAAAGACAAAACAAAACCTATGGACAGTTTAATCAATATCTTATTTAAACTCACTCAATGAGATAAGAAGGATGAACGCAGCCAGTGCTCTGGCCATTGGTGTCTTGTCACGTCTCTCTTGCATAACTGAGTGGTTTCCACGCAGTTTGATGATTTGGGTTATCAAGGTGGGCCGAGTGGAAATCCCTCTGATTGGCTAAAACATTAAGAGCACACACCTCCAAATCTGCAAAACGATAACCTATTTTCATAAAATCTGGAATGAAAAGTAAAATACTTGAATGTAAAATTTACGTCTTTAAACTCTTAATGTTTATAAAACCCACAGCCGTGTTTCTCTACCAGATTACCATATTTACAGTTTTGTGTTGAGTAAGATAAATCTGTTGTTTCATCTTTCTGTATTTGTTGGGGGGGTATATTCAAAGTTTTATCATTAGTTTGTAGTTAAGAGTGCCAAAACATAATGATTATAGTGAAAATAGAAAATGACCTTAAAGCAATTGTCTCAACGTTATAAATGAGTGTTTTCTAAAGCTGCACCTAGACTTTCTGAACAAAACAATCAATTATTCTTAAATATTTCATTCAAAAACTACCAATGAAACTAAAAAGGTTAAGTATTTATTCTTAACAAAATACTTCTTTTTTTTTTGCTCTCAACTAACTGATATTGAAAGCTTTACCATCGACCTAAATTGTTCTCGACGCCCCCCAGAAAATCTGTTTGTTGTTGTTATTTTGTTATTGTAAAACATGTTTGGCTTTCAACCAACACATCGTGGTTATTATACGAGAGTACATACACCCTGAAGCCATTTGTGTTTGTGCAATAGTTTTACAGGAAACCCATCTTAACTCAACAATTTTCATGAAACCTGAAACTGTAATCTAAGGGGATTGTTACAGACACAGTTAATGCCTCTGAAATGCTGAGATTTTTTTTTTTTATTGAACAATGTCTGTGAAGTGAGAGGGAAATCGTGCAACAAAAGAGGTCAGTATTTAGTGCATAAGTTGAATCATAGAAACCTGAATGTGTTTAAATGTGATTGAGGTCTTCTACGCATTACATTTCTCAAGTCATCACATTGTAACACAGCTCACGTTCTCCCATTTAAATAGGTCAAAGAAATACAGTGAATAACATTATTTAACAAAAGACAGAAAATATTTGACATGCTTGATTCAAATATTGTTCATTTAAAAAGAAATCCAAAGTGTTAGTGACATACTTATTTACACAGATAACATTCTGCCATTCTGTAATTACATGTGAAAAGTGTATGTAATTTGGGGACCCACATTTTTTTTTTCAACACTTCATTGAGTTGGAGATGCCTTCAGACCCACATTTTTTCTGCTGTGCCAATTGAAAAGTATAAACTGATTTTGACACCTTTCCAACAAAAAAGGTGAAAAAATGCTTTTATCTAATAAATGACATAAAACTTTGATGAAAAAGAGAGGTAAGGCTGACTATTTCCAAATAATAATTGATTAGGTATGACATAAACATCTGGAAATGGATGTTTAAATGTTTTTGAGTCTATGTGGCTCAGGCACATCAACCTGATGTGTGCATCAAATTTGAGCATTAGGAAGATTTTTGTAACAAGAAAGTAAAATCCTATGGTACTATCTAGACATATAGAACACAATAGATAAATGATTGTATATGAGATAACCTGAAATGATAAGTTTGACATTCAATATACAGTCATGGGAGTTCCAACGCTTGTCTGTACATTTTATAGTAGGCATGTCTACCAAAAACTCCTAATTGGCCCACCATCTTTTCTTGGGTAATTGGTTGTCACCACTGTCACTTCTGAGAAGCTCACTTTACAAACATCTGATGCGCCACCGAATCAGGTCTGTGATTGGACGGTCAAACATTTTGAAGTTAGTCACAGCATATTAAAAAATACTTGCGTCCCCCCCACTTCTAAAATCAAAATATCGTCCATGATAGTAGGAATGTTTTCATATATTCTCATTTTCATTGAGCAGCCTTGAAGCAGTTTTGGTGTGGCACAAAGCACAGGTAGATGTTGCACTTGTCACAAGAATAGTCTTTTTCTCTCACAGGTTGGCATTCTTCATCTATTAGCCTGTTTCTTTTCATCAAAATTTGGCTTGTGGTCAATAATTTCATTTTTCACTTCAGGTACAGGCATCACTTCCTGAACTGGTCTATGAACTGATCTGCAGGGCACACAGTGTGGTTCTGAAGGCAAACTGGGTCTTCCGCATTTTGCTTTCACTGTTTTATGGACTCTCACCAGACACTGGGCTAAATTCATCTTGATGTTGGCCCTCTTCGCCTCCAGCCTGTACACCAACCAACTCTTGGTCACAGCCATGTCAAAGCCATGTGTGATTCAATTCAATTCAGTTCAATTGATATAGAGCCAATTCATTACATGTGTAATGAATTGGCTCTATATCTGAAGGCACTTTACCGTGACAATTCAATCAGATCGTACAGTCACATTGGTTCAGTTTTCTATCTAAGGAAAACCAGCTGATCGCATCAACTCATTGACTTGACAGAAATATCACACACAAAGCAAGCATTCTTGTGTGATCATACAGGTACAGGATACAGGTATTTGCTAACCCTAACCCTGACCTGCTTCTCTTTGTATGTCTGCTTCTTTCTCTTTGAACCCCAGTCGGCCTCTGCAGATGGCCACTCACACTGAGCCCGGTTCTGCTGGAGGTTTCCTCCTGTTAAAAGGGACTGTAGCTACAAGCAAGCGCAGTGTGAGGAATTGCCTTCGAGTCAATGAGTCGATGCAATCCACTGGTTTTCCTTTGGTAGAAAACTTAGAATCAATTTGACTGTATGATCTGGTTGAATAAAGTGCCTGGAGATAACATGTGTAGTAAATTGGCGCTGAATAAATAAAATGAATTGAATTGAAAAAATATATGAATTGATTATAACTTCAACTAATATTAATTTTAACAGTTAAGATTCCTCTGAGACCATCTTTGTTTGGCCAGTATGAACATACATTTATATTTATAGTTTAAAAAGGGCCCTTACTCTTCCCCTTCCTAGGGTGCTCTGCCATGTTTTCCTTATTTGATGTCTGTCACTCTCACAGAGCAAGTTGAAAATCATGAAATGATTGGAATTGGATAATAAAACTATTTTACCAAAAGGTTCAACAGACTTAGGGAAAATTATTGCTTCAAGTGGCATGAAAAGCAAAAAAAAAAAAAAAAGGTTGAATTGTATTTGAGTGGTTTCATATTTACACAACCAATCTGCATTTAAATTAAAATTGATTTATGCATGAGATGACCCAAAGAAATAAAGTAAGTTTTAAAATAGAAATGTCTCTGTAAAGTTTCTTCCAAGTTTTATATCAGCTTTAAATATTAATTAGATTTAGTGTATCTTAAAGTCAAACATCAGAAATGGAAGATAGCAATTTTTTGTGATATTACAACTTCTATTAAACTGTTACCTGTATCCATCTAGATCAAATATGGACCTAATTACTTTAGTAAACATTAATAATTCAATATATATAATGTCATAGATTACTCTGTAATAACACCGTTTTAACTGAATAAATCTATTTTATCCAAATATTAACAAGCAAATTTGTTTTTTTTATTGGTAACTGCTATGTTCACATGATTAAGATTATTACTAATTACATAATCATAGTTAATGTTTTACCAGTCAAGAATAGGCCTATGATGATTTTGTATGATTTGTTTATTGACCTTGATTTTCAAGCACACAGTTTTCTGTAACACACCTAAAAATCTGATATGTTTTATCACACACCTAATGTAAGCACATTATGATATCAATCTTTGTACTCACTTAGCTGTAGTTTATCTTTGGTTGGAAACTCTTCATAAATTGTGTCGTTATTGTTTGTCGTTGTTCTTCCCCGATTTGAGTAGGGAATGTGGTGGGTGGGTGTTAACTTTAATGCATTCTAGATCATTGAAAAGGTTTCTAGACGCTGCTTATTCATCACTTCACTGGCACACCACGCAGCTGAGAAAGCAGCAGATCTGTGCTTTCTTTTACTTTGATACTTATAATTGCTTTGTCTATATACAAGACTTTCAAGCCTGAACAAAAACTAGGTCAATAATCTTTTTAAAGATTCTTCTAAGACGACAAAACTTTCATATTTAGCTAGCCTGCTTTCGAAAATAAATATGCTGTGCTGTTTGTTTCAAAATATATAACCATAAAACTTTTAAGGATTGAGGAACACTATGAAAAAGATGATTGTAATGATGTACTTTTTAAGTTAAACTTTATAGAATCCAGAGTTTTTTTGTCATGAAGATGGAGTGTGGTCGTTGTTTTAGCATCCTAAACGGTCTCTCTGACAGAGAACCCAAGGTCTTCAGATAATTTATTTCATACTTTGACTACTACAAGGACAAGTCTTGCTATGAAACTACTATTAGCAGTTAATTAAACAAAGATTCTGTTGTTGTAAAGAGGGAATTGAATGTCATGTGACAACCAAGTACATGTTGTCGTATTCATACAGTATGTTGTGATTTATTGCTTGTCAACTTCTAATCTACAGTATAAAAATATTAAAATCTTTTTGCCGGTTTTGAAAATTGTATAACTATGTCTTAAATCTAAGCAAAACATTTTTTTCAGATAATCTGCTTATTGCAGAACCACTCTGCTTCTTACAGAGAACATTTCGACTATTTAAAGTGAGATTCTGTGATGATTGTCACGGTCTTGATTCTGTTATGTTTTACTTTGCTCCATGTTTTCTAGTTTTATGGTTTAATTCCTATTTTGTTCTATTTTCTGGATATATTTCAGTTCTAAGGTTTTTATTTGTTTGTTGCTTTATTTGCTCTGTTGCTCTCTTGTGTTAGTCTCCTTTTCCCTATCACCTTCCTTTGCTGCTCTGTTCACACCTGCTCCCAATCTGCTCGTTAGTCCTCTCTTTGTTCAGTCTCCAATAAATATACTCCTTTTGCAGTTCCTCAGGGCTGGTTCCTCGTCTTACTCTGTCCTACCTTGTCTTACCCTAGCTCCTTGTGATTATTTCCCCCTGATGTCTCAATGGTTCTGGTTTGTGTTACATTTTAAGTTGGATTTT